TTCCTCAGTTGTTGAAAGCCTCAGAACATGGCACATGATACTTTTTTCTGTCTACACTCTCCCTAGGAGTAATTTATAATAATCTGTGTGCTGATGACTGCAAAATTTTTATCTCCAGCCTGGATCTTCAGACTAATTTTCAAGTGCCTATCTTACCAGTATCTCAAACTCAATACATCCTGCCCTCAACAACCTACTCCCTAGACTCTACTCTCATTCTTACCTACATCAGAGAATGGCACCACTGTTAACCAGTGCCTCAAGCCCAAAACCTAAAAGGTATCCTTGATGTGCCTCTCAAATGCCATTTCTAATCCCTCAGTAAGTCTTGTCAGTGCTATCTTTAAAGCATCAGAATTAACCACTTATTAATTCTGTTACAGCTGGGGCACCTGGGTGGCTTAGTCGGTTAAGCGTCCGACTTTCGCTTAGGTCATGATCTCACGGTTCGTGGGCTCGAGCCCTGCGTCGGGCTCTGTGCTGACTGTTAGCTCAGAGCCTGGAGCCTGTTTCAGTCTGTGACTCCCTCTCTCTCTGGCCCTCCCCTGCTCGCGCTGTCTCTCTCTCTCTCTCTCTCTCCTAGAAATAAATAAAACATTAAAAAAAAAAGTCTGTTACGGCTATCTTGGACCAAGCCACCATCATCCTGGCCCGGGTTATATGGTAGCCTCCTAATTGGTCACCCTGCTTTCACCTTCTCCATGCCCCCTCCACAGTCTCTTCTCCAAACAGCATTTAGGAAGATCTTTGTAAGCATAAATCAGGTCATGTCATTTTATTCAGAACAAAGTCCAAATGTGTAGGAGCCCTATCTAATTGGTTCCTAGCTCTCTTCCCCACCCACATCTATCACTCCCCACCTGCTCTACCTGCTTTAGCCACACTAACCTAATTGCTGTTCTCTGAATTTGCTTATTTCTTCCTGCCTCAGGGCCTTTATACTTTCTATTCACTTAGTCTGAAATAGTCTTCCCACATATTTCATTCAGATCTCTCAAATGTCATCTTAAGAGAGTGGTCTTCTTAGACTACCCTATATGGAATAGTTCCAAATATACATATCCTGCATGATTTTTTCAGAGCATGTATCACTACCCAGCACTATATATTTATTTATTGTTGTCTATCTCCATTATTAGAAGATCAGCTCCAAGCACGCAGGAACTTTCTCTCATTTGCTACTGTATCCTCACCTCCTGGAACTGAACTGGCACATAGTTGACACTTAGTAAATATTTGTTAAAATACCTGATAAAGGAGGGGCACCTGCGTGGCAGTTGGTTATACAGCCAAATCTTGATTTCAGCTTAGGTCTTGCGTCAGGCTCCATGCTGACAGTGCAGAGCCTGATTGGTATTATCTCTCTCCTTGTCTCTCTGCCTCTCCCCCACTCTGTCTCTCTCAAAAACAAATTAATTAATTTAAAAAACTTAAGTGAATGCTTATGATCATCTTGATTAGGTGGGAAGAGGAGAAGAGAAGAACTATTGTTATTTTGTTTTGTTTGTTTGTTGCTAAGTTCTTTTAAACACATAAGAGTGGTTCACCAGGGGGCTGCTGAAGGTGAAATTGACCCCACCAGTCTAGATCTAGAGGAAAATGCCTGACCAATGAGTGAGGAGGGTCGTAATAGACTCCATCTGAAAAATGAGAGGAAGGGAAAATGAAGATATATCTTCCATGTGTCCAGATAATGGCCAGGAGACAGGATTGAGAGGCAGTTAGGGGCCACAGACCTATCCCAGGACCCTCTATGTGGCCAGGAAGTAAAGAAACTGCTAACTGTCTATTCCTTGGGAGTATGCAGAGTCCACAAGGTTGCCACCAGCCTTATTAGCAACCCCCCATCTAGAGATGCCTAAAATTGGTAAATTTTTTGGTTCAGAAAGGTCCAGAAGATCAGAAACCTTCAGAACAATATTGTCCAGCTGTCCAAACATGAACTGGTATTACAGACAGACCCAAGACAACTTTCTCCAGCCCTTTCCAATTTCAACTTTATCAGGTCAAAAACTAGTCCCATCAGAGGAGATACCCGGAAGAGGAAGTTGCTAACTTTTGGTCAGTGCTAACTGACCAAAAACTGGAACCCGGGTTTTGTAGTTTGCCTGTTGGATGATGATCTGCCCAGAATTACCCACCTCCCCACCTCTCCCTACAGCTGCCTTCAACTGGTTAGTGGCATTTCCTCTACCCTTTCACAGCACGCTTATCTGCACCTGTTAGTTTACATTTCTCTTTCACCTTAGTAGATCAGAAGGACATAGAATAGTGCCTGGCACATAGTAGACAGCGGTTTCAGTTTATCTAGTTCCACATAAGATGTGACCCCAAAACTTGGTGTCCTTAAACTAACAATTTCTATCTCACAGTTGTTCTGCTTCACATGGTGTCATCTGGGGCACTGGCACAGTCAGAAGTCCCCAAATGGTTTCAGTCACGCAGCTGGCAGTTTGTATAGGCTAGAGGCTGACTGAGAATGGTCATGGGTCAGGGGCCTTGGCTCTTCTCCATTTGGACCTCTCCATAAAAGCCTCTCACATGGCTGCTTGGGTTTCCTCACAAAGAAGAGGGTATTTTCTAAGGAGGAGCATTTCAAGACAAGGTAAGAAGATGTAGACCCCTTAAGGCCCAGCCTTAAGCATCACTTCTGTGGATATTTTACTTACAACAACATACTGAGCAGTCTAGATTGAAGGGAAGTAGATGTCTCCTCTGGATAGGTGGAGGAGTAAATTGGAAGCCATCTTCTTAAAAATATTTTATTTATTTTTGAGAAAGAGATAAGAGCTCAAGCAGGGTAGGGGCAGAGAATGAGGGAGACACAGAATCCCAAGCAGGCTCCAGGCTCTGAACAATCACCACAGAGCCTGATGTGGGTCTCAAACCCACAGACCGTGAGATCATGACCCAAACCAAAGCCAGATGCTTAACCCCCTGAGCCATCTAGGTGCCCCACCATCTATTTTTTAATCCACTATAGTTTAACCAGCTGCCACAAATTATTTAGGAACAATTCAATCATGAAAATAAATATTGATAGAAACAGTTTACAGCCAATTCAACAAAATATGAAACCATGAGTTCATACTGATATAAATAAAGAAATGAATGTTTGATGAGTAACAAGATATTTACATAATTTCAAAGTACCTCCTCCACAATATGCTTAAAACTTCAATGGGAAACATTAGAAAAATCCAAATTTTGAAACACTCTTGAAAATAACCATCGTGACCTCTTAAAAAAAAAAAGTCAAGTTCCTGATAGTAAATGAAAGACTGGAGAACTGCTCCCTCACTGGAGGAGACTAAAGAGACATGATGACCAAATGCAACACTGATTTTGAAATGGACCCTTCTGCTATAAGATATTTTGGGGATGACCAGTGAAACTTGAATTTGAACTAAGGATAAGGATAGTGTTGTGTCAATGTTAGTTTCCTAATTTTGATGGTTGTATTGTGGTTATGTTTGAAATATGCATATAATATTTATGGGGTGGGGTGCCTGGGTGGCTCAGTCCATTAAGCACCTGACTTTGGCTCAGGTCATGAGTATGGTTAGTGAGTTTGAGCCCAACATTGGGCTCTCTTCCGTCAGTGCAGAACCTGCTTCTAGTCTTTGTCTCCCTCTCTCCCTCCCTCCTGCCTCACACACACTCTCGCTCTCTCAAAAATAAATGAACATTTTAAAAAAAAATTTTATAAAAAACGAAAGAAAGAAAGGAGAATAGAGGGGCACCTGGATGGCTCACTCAGTTAAATGTCCAACTTCTAATTTCAGCTCAGGTCATGATCTCACAATTTGTAAGACAGAGCCCCGTGTCAGGCTCTGTGGGCTCTGCGGGCTCAATGTGGAGCCTGCTTGGGATTCTCTCTCTTCCTCTCTCTCTGCCCCTCCTCTACTCGTTTTCTCTTTCTCTCTCTTCCTCTGTCTCTCTTTCTCTCTTTTTCCCTTCAAAATAAATAAATAAGCATAAGGAAGGAAAGAAGGAAGGAAGCAATAATAGACATTGGTCCTTAAGAAAGCTGAGATCCAGGGGCGCCTGGGTAGCTCAGTTGGTTAAGCGTCTGACTTCAGCTCAGGTCATGATCTCAAGTTCGTGGGTTCCAGCCCTGCATCAGGTTCTGTGCAGGCAGCTCAGAGCCTGGAGCCTGTTTCAGATTCTGTGTCTCCCTCTCTCTCTGCCCCTCCCCCACTCATGCTCTGTCTCTCTCTGTTTCAAAAATAAATAATAACTATTAAAAATTAAAAAAAAAAAGAAATCTGAGATCCAATCATGCATGTCACCAATTCCCCCTTCTCTAGAGTCAGGGAATATGATACCTTTCGTTTCTACTGTTGTTTGTACTTTGTGGTTGATTTTCTTCCCTGTCCTGATCATTCTTTGACCAGATCCAGTCTGCCTATTTCCTTCATAAAAGACTAGCGCCCAGGACTGGATGCGGCAGTCTAGCTGGGGTCCAAGTGACGGAAGAGAGAAGGATAATAAGTTGCCTTCATAGTTCCAAGTATCAGACTTTCATTGATGCCTTCTAACACAACATTTACTTCATTTACTTTTTAATGTCCATGTTAAACTAAGAGATAGGGCTGAAGACAGAATCCTGGAATAGTGGAAACACCCTGTGGGCTGCCTTGGATCCTTTAAATACAGTTGTTGTGCCAGTCAAGGTTTTTGACTGCAAAACAGTTAATTACACTGCTGCTCTGCCATGGCCACCACTACCAGGGAATACTCAACACCACCTCTCAAGACTGTTCAAGCTGCTGCTGCTCTTGCCAGGAACACTTCCCACACTACCCTTGCCTCTTAGCAGCATCCCGTAAAAAGTCAAAGTCCTTGGTCCAATTCACATGCTTGAGTCCTAGCTGCCAGGAAGTGAAAAGGAGAATTTTCTTTCTGCTTCCATGGTGGAACCCAGGGCACTACAGCCCTCCAATAGTATATTATTATTAGAAAATTATTCCAGGGCTTTTCCGGGCGAGCTGCCCGGGGAGGGGTCCATACAGCGTTGTTTTGCGTTCCCGTCATCTCTTAAAGGGAAACTTTCACAATGTCCGGAGCCCTTGATGTCCTGCAGATGAAGGAGGAGGATGTCCTCAAATTCCTTGCAGCAGGAACCCACTTAGGTGGCACAACCTTGACTTCCAGATGGAACAGTACATCTACAAAAGGAAAAGTGATGGCATCTACATCATAAATCTGAAGAGAACCTGGGAGAAGCTTCTGCTGGCAGCGCGTGCCATCGTTGCCATTGAAAACCCAGCCGATGTCAGTGTCATTTCGTCCCGGAACACTGGCCAGCGAGCTGTGCTGAAGTTCGCCGAAGCTACCAGAGCTACTCGGATCGCCGGCCGCTTCACTCCTGGGACCTTCACTAAACAGATCCAGGCGGCCTTCCGGGAGCCCAGGCTTCTGGTGGTTACTGACCCCAGGGCTGACCACCAGCTTCTCACAGAGGCGTCTTACGTTAACCACCTACCATCTTGCTGTGCAACACAGACTCCTCTGAGCTACGTGGACATCGCCATCCCTTGCAATAACAAGCGCGCCCACTCGGTGGGTCTGATGTGGTGGATGCTGGCCCGGGAAGTCCTGCGCATGCGCGGCACCATCTCCCGGGAGCACCCGTGGCAGGTCGTGCAGGACCTCTACTTCTACAGGGATCCCGAGGAGATTGAAAAGGAGGAGCAGGCTGCTGCCGAAAAGGCTGTGACCAAGGAGGAATTTCAGGGTGAATGGACGGTCCCAGCGCCCGAGTTCACGGCTCCTCAGCCCAAAGTCGCAGACTGGTCTGAAGGCGTGCAGGTGCCCTCCGAGTCCGTCCAGCAGTTCCCCACTGAGGACTGGCCAGCAGCCCGCACTGCCCAGGCCACCGAGTGGGTGGCAACGGCCACCGTGGAAACAAGGTTGACAGAAAATAAACCGTTTCTAAAAGTTGAAAGAAAGAGGAAGGAAGGAAGGAAGGAAGGAAGGAAGGAAGGAAGGAAGGAAGGAAGGAAGGAAGGAAGGAAATTATTCCAGGGCGCCTGGGTGGCTCAGTCAGCTAAGCATCTGACTTCAGCTCAGATCATGATCTCCTGGTGTGTGGATTCAACCCCTGCATCGGGCTCTCTGCTATCAGCTTAGAACCCACTTAGGATCCTCCGTCTCCCTCTCTCTCTCTGCTCCTTCCCATTCGTGAGTGCTCACGCTGTCTCCCTTTCTCAGCAATAAATAAACATTTAAAAAACATTTTAAAAAGACAATTATTCCAAAATAAGGGATTGCATGCTGAATGGACAAATATAATGACAAAGGTTCACTCCAGTCATTCAGCAGGTTACTTTTCCTCTAGATTGTGCTATCATCCAACCCATTTTTCTCATTTTATCTACAGGAATATCATGGCAGAGATTGGTAAAGGCCCTGCTGAAGATCCAGTTTGCCAACAAACAGACTATCAGTTACAGCTCTGGGATCTATCAGTTCAGGGACCTGTCATAAAAGGAAATTTGATTGCCCCTGCCCTGACTTGTTCTGGGAAATCTCTACTCCCTTTTATATCTTTAAAAATCAATTCTGGGGTAAGAGTATAGTGTGCAGAATCAACTTGTTTTCTTTGTAATCGACAGCTGTTAATTTTGTCTACTCTTTATTCACTCATCCTTATGGTAAGAGGAGGTCCACTCTTGCTGTGTGGTCAGGAAAGCCTAACCACAAAACTCAGATACCATGTAATTAATTGGGATAGGGCTCCTCAGTGGGCTCATATTTGGCTAATCAGGGCACTGTTTCCCTCTGGCCACAGTAATTGGTTCAGCAGTTGACACATGACCCAAGGAGGCCAAGAAGCAAAGAACCCATCTTCCCTCAGGACTTCTGATTGAGAAATATGGAGGCACACTGAGAAAAAGTCTCTTCCATTCCTCAGGGGTGTCCAGCCTGGAGTTGCCAAGGGCTATTACATTAGTTTTCTAGGGTTCTATAACAAATTGCCAAACATTCAGTGGCTTCAAACCATAGAGCTTTATTCTCTCACAGTTCTGGAAGCTAGAAATCTGAAATCTAGAGGTTAGCAGAGCCATCCTCCTTCTGAAATCTCTAGGAAAGACTCATTCCTTGCCTCTTCTAGCTCCTAGTGGCTTCCAGCAGCCACAGTGTTCATTGGCTTTTAGCTGCACCATTCCAATCTGCCTCTGTGTTCACATGACCTTCTCTGTGTGTATGTTTCTCTCCTGTCAGTGTGTCCTCTCCTCTTCTTACTAGGACATCAGTCACTGGAAATAGAGCCCACTCTAATCCAGTGTGACCTCATCTTGATTTAACTAATTACATCTGCAAAGCTCTGTTTCCAAACAAGATTTATTCTGGGGTGTGGGGAAGACATGAATTTCGGGGATACCCTATTTGACCCTCTACATCTATCAAGTGGAAAGAGCCTGCCTGAGAATTAAGTCAACATGGAGTCACAAGGTATATGCCCTAGTATGTCCATATCTGACCCTGCATTGATCAGTTATATGAACTGGCAAATATCCCCCTCCCCCCACTTTGTCTTAAGTCATCTTGAAGTGACAGAAAGAAACTACCGCCCCTATTTTTGCAAAATTAGAAAATCATTTGCACATGACCCATGTTCCAAACTTCTCCCATCCTCCAAAAGTCTTTGACACAGATTGTGCAATCCCACTTGGAAGTGGAATGGATTTACCTCATTTACTTCATTTGGCCAGGAAACAAATTTATTTTGAGCAGCCAGATGATTTCTTATAATGCATTCCACCATCATTCCTTTCTTTTAGTTTTTATTATGGAAAATTTCAAAAATACACAAAAGTAGAGAGAAGAGTATAATGAACCTCAGTGTTTCCATCGTCCCATGTTTGCTTCATCTATACTCCAACTTCCCTCCACCTCCTGCAGGATTACTTCAAAACTCAGATACCATATAAGTAATTTATCCTCTCCAACCACTATTCTAAGTTTTAAACCCCCTCATTACTGTATTTGAAGACTTTTGTGCCTTGCAAGACAAAACTAGTCACTTTGGACATAGAAAGCATACACCAGACTCCACTGAATGGAGTCCCTGCCCTGAAAATTTCCAATGTATTAGCAGAGATAAGACCAGAAGCCCCTCCAGTGCTTATCAGACTTTAATGTAAACCACGTGGGGAGATGTTAAAATGCAGAAGCTACTCAAGTATGTGCAAAGGGGTGGGAAATCTGTGGGAGGGGGTGGCGAATCCTGTAGTTCTAATAAGGACTACACTGCTGCTCATCTGTCAAAGGAGAAAAGACAGGCTGCTGTACAAGGTAGAGGTGACAGGTCACCAGGCTTAAGAACTATCTTTCGAATAGTTTACCACAGGTGCTCACATTAATTTTTTCAATATTCCAGAGTGAGAAGAACACTGAACCAAGCACTGAGGGATCCACAGAGGAAATTTTATAAACTCCAGGAAGTGAGGGCATAGTTGCCAGTCAGTTTCAGAAATTTATAGGATAGAGTGTAAAAGTGGCTAGTCAGCTCATGGTGACTCTTTTTTCAAAAAACTTTATCCTCCTGGGACTGGTCCTCCATATCTATTTTTGTACTGCTTGAACCCACCGACCAGCCACAGCTAATTGGACCAAGGGTGAGCATCTGACCCAAGCTGGGCCAATCAGAGGGTCTCTCCTGAGAATTTGGATTTGAGATTCAGGACAGTCAGTCAGACCCTAGGTATGGCTGAAATTGAAATTATATAAATATTCCACCTTCTGCCAATATACAAAGAAGCAAAGAAAACTGAGAGAGTGAAACCTACCATAAAGAAGACCTAGAAATGAAGAGAGCACTACCTACATCCCTTAGGCTTCTTGCCCCATTCCCATCCCTCCTAAGGCCTAATAGCATTTCTGTGCCTCAGAACTCAATCACCCTGTATTGAAATCTTCCAGGTATTACATGAGTCAGTTTTAGATCTTTGCAATCAAAGAGACTGACAAATAGACATGGTCATATAACAAATGAGGACAAAGCTAGAGAGGGAGAAGGGTTAAGAGCTGCTGAGCCTAGGAATGCAGGTCATTGTGGGTTTACCAGACAGCTGGGTAGATAAGAGGTTGTTTCAGGCTGAAATGAAGTCTCAGGAGCCAGAAAAGAAACTTCCTCCCTGCAGACAGTGGGCTGGGTCCTGCTTTTGGCTTCCTTTGAGGCCACCAGGGTCATGCTGCCTGCCTATCTGTCTGCCACTCCTCACCTGGGAATTTGCGCCAGTCTTCCTGATTGTGTCAGGACTGGCCATATCACCTTGTTTCCACTAAGCTCTAAGAACTGTGGTGTCCCTGCTCTAGAGCCACCTGACAGTATCGTCTTGCTCCTCCCAAGTATCTGGGAAGAGCTGCTGTCAGTTGGTTGTTATTCTGCCCATCTTCCTAATCAGCATGCCACTCTGTGAGTCTCTAACCTGGGATGTGTGAGGCATTTGGTCCCCAGGTGGGTCCTGAAGTCTGCAGCAATGATCCAAGACCAGCTCTTTTGTTACACATAGGATGGTCAACTTATTCCTGTTTGCCCAGGACTATCCTGTGTCCCAGGACCCCTCTCAGTTCTGGGAAAACTGGGAGGGTCCTCAATGGAAACCCGCCTTAGCATTGTTCCTTGAAGGGCTCATCCCAGATCTCGTGACTCCAGACCTCCAAACCCCACTCTTCTGAGTATCCCCACACGACTGGAATTTCTGAACTGCTTTCTGAAACCACTGCATCCCTCCTTCCACCTGTAGACCACACAGCAAATTAAAAGCACAGATTCTGAAGCCTCCTATTCACTAATTGGCTGATCTTGGGTAAGTTGTCTAAATTCTCAGTGCCTCGCTGAAAAGCAGTACCAATAATACACTTGCCTTATTGTGGTGTTGTGAGAAAAGTGAGAATAGTGCCTGACTGTGTGAAAGCTGGCAACTATTGTCATGTCCCTACCCTGATCTAGTCATTGCCCCCTCCCACTAAGGAGACCCTCACTCCCTGGCACACTCCGCAGTCCCAGTGGCATGGCACAGACCCAGCCATAAGGCACTGGGGCAACCCAGGCTGCCTACAGAGGTGTCACCTGGTCCTCCTCACCCTGGGCTCTGAGGTTGAGCCTTGGAGCAGGGCCCGGTTTCTCTCATTTCTGGGGAACAGTCCCTGAAGGGGAACACAGAAGGGGATCAGCAAAGGACTTCAGCGGGTTGGCCAGCCTTCTTGTGTGGACAGAGGATCCCTATGTCTCTGGTCCCCTGCCATTGTGGTCAGTCTAGTCCCTCAACCTGCTTTCTCAGAAGCCATGCTCTCACACCTGTCAGAAATGAGAAGTCCAGAAATGAGAGATCCTGGGCCAGGAGGCACACCTCATAAGAACTCTGCAAACAACTACAGAATGACTTGAGGACATTGTGTATGTGCGTGGTGGAAGAAGTATAGGAAGTCCTTGCAGCCAGCTATTATCCCACATGACCACTGACAACTGGTGGTGAGGTCTGTCTGCCCACAAAAGTATCTGACCCATGTTGATTTCTTCCCCTGTTCCCCACGGGAAGGGTTATGCACCAACGCAGGCTCTGTGTATCACAATGAAAGCAAATCCCAAAGTCTTGGTGCCAGGTTTCAGCCCCACTAAGGAGAAAACCCCAGGAGTACATGCAGATCTCACCACCTCCCCTTGGGCCAGCCACACCAGGCCAGCTCTCAAAGGCCTCTTGTGACTGTCCTTTCTCTCATCTTTCCTCGCTGTGATAAATGTCCTGGGATTAGCCCTTCTGTGTTTATTGGATGAGCAATTTGTGTCTGTCTGAAAAGCTACATCTGAATAACGTTTGGCACGAGCTAAAGAAATGTGAGCCTCTGCATTCCCCTCCAGCCAGCTCTCTGGAGCCAGCCGTCTCCTGCCAACAGGGTTAGACAGCTCTGCTGCTGGGTCAGCAGCCTATGCATGTTTGTAGGGGGAGGGGGTGGCAGGAGGGAGAGGAAGGTGCCTGCAGTGAGACCAGAAACCCAGAAGGACAGAGGAGTAGAGCAGCCTTAGCAAATCTGCCAAGAGTTCTGGAGCCCCTGTAGTAATTTGGGGACATCAGAGATGTGATGCCCATGGTGGTGACCCAGGTCTGAGGACAGGAAAATCAGGGCTGCCATGCAGCTCAGGAGCCAGTGTGATACCTGGACACAGAGTCCCAGAGGTGAGCTGCAGCAAAGGAGATTCAAGAGAGTCCAATGGATAGCATGAGGATCCCAGATCTAGAAGGGTGTTTGGTGCTGGGCTCTTGACGTTTGTGTGGAGTGGGGCCAGGTGCAGGGTGTTAGGATGTACTAAGGCTGTTTAAATATTTCCTGACTCCGGGCACCTGGGTGGCTCCATCAGTTGGGTGTCTGACTCTTGATTTTGGCTCAAGTCATGATGCCAGGGTTGTGGGATCGAGCCCTTTATCAGGCTCTATACTGAGCGTGGAGCCTGCTTAGGATTCTCTCTCTCTCTCTCTCTCTCTCTCTCTCTCTCTCTCTCAAATAAATAAAAACAAAAATAAAAATATTTCCTGACTCCATCTGTTCGGGTCCTGGCACTGGAGAGGACAGCTTATGGCAGTGACCATCAGGCAACATAGTTATGAGGTGAGGAGGAGTATAGACAAAGAGGGAATTGGGTGGGTGTGGGTGGGTGTGTTAACAACCTCTGTCACCCCCTCCTCCCCCAGCAGCCTCTGCTGTCCTCCCTCACCATTCCCCTTCTCTTCTCTTAGGGTGCACATCACTGCCCCCGCATATCCTGTGACTTGGCTCTCAGTCTTTCCTCGACCAGCACCTCACTCTCCCCAAGTCAGTGATCAGACTGAAGACGAGACATCATCCGCGGGCCCCTAACAGTGAGCACAGAAGTGGCCACCCACGAGGCATCAAAAATGGTTTCCTGAGTAAAAGAATGAAAGTGAGGCTAGGACCTCAGATTTCAGTGGTCACAGACTCACAAGAGGATAGCAAATGACAGGTCAGACAGAAGTAACAATGCAGGAAATTGGTTCACGAGTGAGAACACGGCCACCATAACACCATCCTCAGAGTCTGTTCCAGGTGGAGGCCTGCAGGGTAAGTCAGCTTATCCGGATAGGCTCCTGGAGGCTCTTCTGCAGCGGTTCCCTCATCCCGGTGTTCACGTGGCTCCATCCACTCAGTTAATGTGGTTTGGATCCCCACCTGTATCATAGGCTGTAGGATACCGCCTGTCTCCTCAGATAGAAAACAAACAAAACAGGACAACAAAACTGATGTACCCATAGAAGGTGGTAGGAACCATCTATGCTCTCACAGAGTGTAGGGAGAAGGTTATAAATATTCAGGGCGGGGGGGGAAACCAGGTTAATTTTACTTGGAGGAGGAAGAAGGTCTTCATGGGGATGGGGGGGGGGATGCATTAGACCCAGACCTGGAATGAAATCTGCAAGTGCGCCCAATGTTCATCCTCCACCCACCCCCCCCCCCCCCCACCACCACTTCCCTGCTGTCAACACTCGCTCAATTTGGTGGCAATGGCAGATTTTGCTAACTGCTCCCTGCACCCTGTCACAAGCCCGGGTATATCCACAGAACCCTTCTCAACACAGCAACCCAGCCAGATAATCAGAGCGGCTGCATGAGAAAAGAAAGGCATTTGCTATCACATCTTGCAAGGTGTATATAATTATGACCTGCAGGGATCAGCAACAGAAGGAACAGAGTGAGGAGAGGCCCAGTGGTGGGGAGACACTGAGCGTGTATGATGGAGGTGAGTGGGCTGCTTAGGCTTGTGGGTAAGGTCTGTGAATAAGGAACAATGGACAATGTGGCTGAGAAAGTAGGTTGAGGAATATCTGGATTAGGATCTTGCCAGGCTAAGGAATGTGGGTTTAGGCCTACAGGGGGCAGAAGCAGTCACACAACTGAGCCGTGTTCAGAAAGACAGTCTGGCAGCAGTGCGCAGGGTGGACTGGGATGGAGAGAAGCTGGAGGCGGTAGACCAGCCAGCCATCCCAGGCAACCAGTGGTGGAGCCCCTGTGAGCTCTTGCCGCACTTGGCAAAAGCATCTGTTTAACACTCACTCTACTGTCTCTCATGGAGCCGTCTTGTGACAGCCTGATAGCCCTTCAGGCTGCAGGATCCTTGACATCAGGAACTGTATTCTGCCTCTCTGGGGCCCCAGGCCTGACATGGTTCTTGACAGGTGCTCATTATATATTTGTCAATTACTGAATAGGGTAGTGAGAAAAAGGACAAGGGGGGTACAGAGAAGGGCACAAATTTCCGGGATAACATCCTGTTTCGCAAGTACAGTTCCTTAGGCCTGGACATTGGCACAGCTGTCTTTTGATGTGTGTGGCGAAGTAGAAGTATGTGGAGGCAGCATGGGCAGGGAAGGAGTCACAGCTCACTCCAAGAAACTGGGAATTGCCGTGTGTGTGTGTGTGTGTGTGTGTGTGTGTGTGTGTGCACGTGTCTTAGGCTTGCAAGAACTTTTGGCTTTTTAGAGAAAGGTGGACAGACAAACGAGACCTCATGATCTGTACTGTCCTGAGGTGCCTTAGGAAGTGTATTAAAACTCTGTTTTGGTTGCAAGTGACAAGATCAATGCAAGCAAGCCTAGGGACAATGGGAAGCTTGCAAGGTGCATTTGGGGACCACCAGAATGAAGGATTCCAACAGTGCCAGACTCTTTCCATCTCTAACATCTACTTTTCTCCACATGTCAGTCAGCCTCATTCTCGTAGTCTGGCTTCCTCCATGTCTGGAAATATGGCTGCCAGGAGCCTGGGTCTCACTTCTGAGAGCTCCTCCACCAAAGAGTCAATAAAGCCTTCCTTTCTTGTGTCCCAATTTCAGAAACCCCAGGGAAGGACTCTGATTGGCTCTGCTTGTGTAGGAACCTGCCCCTGGCCTAAGACTTAATGCAGCAGCTAAGGAAGCAGGGTCATATAGAAAGGAAAAAGCTTCCACCAAAACTTCATAGTTGAAATAGAAAAGGAGTATTTCACAGAGGTGGAGCTATTAATAATAATCCTGGAGAGTTTGGCTGGCTCAGTCAGTAGAGCATGTGACTTTTTTTTTTCAATTTTCTTAATGTTTATTGATTTTTGAGAGAGAGAAAGAGAGAGAACAAATGGGGGAGGGGCAGAGAGAGAGAGAGAGAGAGAGAGAGGGAGACACAGAATCCAAAGCAGGCTCCAGGTTCTGAGTTCTCAGCACAGAGCCCGATGTGGGGCTCAAACCCACCAACCACAAGATTATGACCTGAGCCAAAGTTGGTCATTTAACTGACTGAGCCCCTAGAACATGTGACTCTTAATCTTGGGGTTGTGAGTTCAAGCCCCACATTGGGTATAGAGCTTACTTCTATTTTTTTTTTAATATTTTTATTTTATTTCTAGAAGAGAGAGAGAGAGAGAGAGACAGCGTGAGCAGGGGAGGGTCAGAGAGAGAGGGAGATACAGACTCTGAAATAGGCTCCAGGCTCTGAGCTGGCAGTCAGCACAGAGCCCGACACGGGGCTCGAACCCAAAACCGCGAGATCATGACCTAAGCGAATGTCGGACGCTTAACCGACTAAGCCACCCAGGCACCCCTAGAGCTTACTTCTAAAAGAAAAATCTTGTCTTGAGTCTGCAAAAGTTAACTCTTGTACACAACAACTGTAATAGGTGTCGCTCTTGTAGTCATCATTACCCTTGAGAATTATTACCTCAGGAAAACAAGGCACAGAGAGGGTAAGTAACTCTCATAGATCACACAGCTAGTAAATAGAGGTGGAGCTATGATTTAAATCCATTTAATCTAGCTCCAGACCCTATATCTTCTTATTATGTTATTTTGTCTATTCACTACAGAATAAAAGAATACAAGGTCTAGGGCTGTGAGAAGGGAACCTTGACAATTTCTCCTGGGAAAATTCAAGGCCCAAGTTGAGAAGCCTTTGGGAAGTGACTCAGTGTCATGGGAATCTAGAATAAGAAACACCACCACCCATCTTAATCTTGCTGGAGTGAAAAGGAATGTTTCATTTTAACCATTTTTTTTTAAAGATTTTACTTTGTTTTTTATTTTTTAAGTTTATTTATTTATTTATTTTGAGAGAAAGAGAGGGAGAGCAAAAGCAGGGGAGGTGCAGAGAGAGAGGAAGAGAGAGAATCCCAAGCAGCCTTTACACTCTCAGCACAGAGCCCGACTCAGGGCTAGATTCCACAGACCTTGAGATCGTGACCTGAGCCAAAACCAAGAGTGGTTGCTTAACTGACTGAGCCACCCAGGCAACCCAAGATTTTATTTTTTTAAGTAATCTCCACACCAAATGTGGGGCTCAAACTTACAACACCAAGATCAAGAGTCTCAGGCCCCAGGTACTAAAGCCAGCCAGGCGCCCTTCATTTTGACTTAATTTTTCTTCCATCTTTATTTACTTAGAGTTAGATAAAGCCAAGGAAAGCAAATGAAAGAACAACGATGTCCCATTTTCACCTATTAAAAATTTAAGCAGCAGCATAATAGCCATGCTGGCAATGGTGGAGAGATGGTTCACTTCTAAAAGGGTGGTGACAGAATAAAATGGTTCAACTAGTGAAAAACAATTTATTTGGCAATGGGGGTCAAGAGCTATAGAAGCTCTCTTTAACTTTGACCCGGTAACCTCACTCTTTAAAAATAACTTGTGGAGTCACAAAATAAAACCTAACTAGTGCTACATGCAAGAGATACATCTAAAATAGTGTTCCTTGGAAATATTGAAAGTAAGAGTAGGAAAAAATAGAAAACAAGAACAAAAGTCGTACATGCAAATACAAGCAACAAGAAAGCAAAGGTTTTGTTATTAATATCAGACATGATTGAATTCACAGAAAATCAGAAAACAAGGCACAAGAGAAAATATAATGATATTGGAAGAGAGCAATAATGTAGATCTATCATAACTATGCACAAGATAATACAGCATTAGAATTCATAAAGTAAAAACAATAAGAAATACATGAAAAAATGGATATAAATACAGTAACCGTAGAAAATTTTAATTCACCTCTCTTAGACCATGACTGATTAATAAACCATACAAAAAGTAAGGATATAGAGGACTTGACTTGTTAAATTAGTAAGGTAGATTGAATTAAAAGATATCAAACTGTCTACCTTGAAAACCTAGAATTTATACTCTATAAGTATCCCTGGATCATTAACAAATGGCCACATATAAGGCCATAAAAAAACAAACAGAAAAATTTCAATACATTTCAAAAAGTAGAATAAGTACAGATAACAGTTTCTAATCACAATGTGCTAAACTAGGAAGTAATAGCAAAAATAGAAACTGAGAAGCAATAGAAAAGTTGAAAATTAAACAAAAACAAAAACAATATCTGGATGGAATATTAGTCAACGTTAAATTCTGACACATGCTACAAATCAATTCACATTGAGACATTATGTGAATTGAATATGCTAAGTGAAATAAGCCAGTCACAAAAAGATAAACACTTATGATTTGCTTATATGAGATATCTAGGGTAGTCAAATTAATAGAGACAGAAAGTGGAATTGTCATTTCCAGGAAGAACAGGAGGAATTGGGAATGGGGAGTTTTTTAATGGGTATAAAATTTCAGTTTATAGATGAAAAGTTCTTTTTGTGTACAACAGTGTGAATATACTAAACATTACTGAACTATACACTTGGAAATGGTTGAGATGTTAAATTTTGTGTCTCATGTATTTTAGGAAATTCTCTTAATTCTCAAAGTGAAAACTATCTTTTGAAAGAAAGTGATAATTCCCCAGGAAACAGTACAAAAGACAAGTCAAAGGAATGAACATTTTCATGGTTCTTGGCTATGTCTCACATAATCTTCAGCGAGAATTCAGAGGGATACATTTTGAACCGTGCAAGCTCGGAGACAGGCATATTGTGTTTGAAAATGTTGGTTTTCTTCCTGCATTATTTAACCAGCTTGTGTGCCAGTCCTGTATTAGGACCTAGAGAGACCAGAAATGGTACAGTTTATCTATACCTGTTTATCTCTACCACAGAAGCAAAGATCCAGAAAACAAAACAAAACTCTACTCAACCCCACTGGTTAATTCCAAGTAAAAGGAGAGAGGGAGGGAGTTCAATGGCCAAAGATTAAGTTTTTCTCTTCTCTGAACCTGAGCCATTCCCCACCTGGGCTTCCGACTGTGGCTTCCTCATTGTGACCATAAGTAAATCACTTTAC